CCACGAATATTAGAACAATCAAAAGCATATAATCGGCATTTTGCCGTGTTATGTGGTTGTTATCCCTCAATCGATGTAATTGAATGTCTTCGTAACAAAAGTGCTGCAGACATTCTTAAATATTCGAGTCTAATTAAGTATGATGTACCAACATACTTAAATAAACCACTTACTGTTGGTTTACCATGGGACGCTACCTTAAATCTTCCTTCATTTTACCTACAGTATGGTAATGTGGATTTTATCAATCGGTATGCTTCTCAAATTACTATACCAGTTATTTGGGGCATTGATAAAGATGAAGGCACATTGTTTATTGATGAAGCAGTAAACAAATCGGTTTCACTTTATTATCTTATAGCTAAAGGAATCGTTGGTTTTTTATGGTTTCCACAAAATGTAGATAAAATATCAGAACTTTATAAAATTAATAATCCACTCCAGGCAGACTATCATGATACACTTGCTCAAATTCTTGGTGATTATGCATTCACTTGTCCTATGCGTAGTATGAGTAGATCACTTACACTTGCTGGCAATGCAAATATATATTTATACGTTTTTGATTATATTATTCAGGCAGTTGAATTACTTTATGGTTCATCACATTGGGCCCCAGATTGTTATTGTCATGTATGTCATAAGAGTGAAATGCCATTTGTTTTTAATCCACCAAATGTATCAACTATTTTATTTACTGCTGCAGAAGAAACCTTTGCTCAATCGATTGGATGTCGTTGGACAAATTTTGGAAAAACAGGAAATCCCAATAGTTTATCATGCGCTTCACCTACATGGAATACGTTTTCAATAAACACCAACACAAGTCTTAATCTTACATTAGATACTACAGGATATGTCAGCAATTACCGTGGAAATCCATTTTGTGATTTCTGGGATAATCTAGGTTATACTTTCTAATCGAATTTAGATCAACAACTGCGATAGATAATATCTCTTATCTATCAAACTTTATATCTATTTATTTAAAAGAAAAATATAAATAAACTTTTTATGTTTTTAATAAACTATAATTGTATTGTAATAATGGTAATGGTTGAATATTGAATCTTTTTTTTATTTATTAGAGACAATAAATTCAATTTTAAAGATTAAGCTCTAACTAAAATGCTATTGTCAAATAAAAATATTACATTCATTAATGTTTATAAATCATATAGTCTTTTATTTTAAATCTTTGTTCGTTTTCTTGCCATTAATTGTTCTTCAGCCATACGTGTTCCTTCTAAACGTGCTCGTATTTTATCAAAAGCAATTTGTCTTGGTGTTGATTGATCATCATCAAATGGTGAAAATCCACAATCATCTGTTGTACCTAATTGTTCAATGGGAATATATTTTGCTGCTTCTAATACTCGTTCACAAACTTCTTCTGCTGTTTCAACTCGAGGATCAACTGGATTAATAACTCCAACAAAAATTCTATGCCATGGTTGCATATATTCACGAATACATGATAATACACGTTGACGATTAGATTCACTTGCTAATTGTAAATAAAAATTGCCAACATGTAATTCAAATAATGTTGGAAGAACTTTTAAATAATCAATATCATATGAATGATAACTATCTTGATCACCACCTTTAATAAATTGTTTTTTGAATTAAAATATTAAAAATTAATATGACAAACCTGGACAAACATGAACACCAAGTCGATGTTGTTCACTAAACATAAATCGTTCTAAAACTTGATTATTAAGACGAACAAAATCACGTAATAATTGACCAGTGGGATCAACTTTAAGAGAAAAACGTGCTTCAGTAAAATCAATTTGTATACAATGTGCACCTTTTTCAAGACATAATCGAATATCTTTTTCCGATTCATTTATTAAATCAGTTAAAAATTGATCATGTGAATAACCTTTAATAGTAGCTACGGGATAAACCATTGATAAAGCTGATGGACTAATAACTGCTTGTCTAGATTTGTTTTTTAAAAATAAGAAAGAATTAATCATTAGGAAAATGATGATACATACTTAATTGGTAATCCTGTAAAATTTTTCGCAGTATCAATATATGTATGAGCATATTTAGCATATCGAAATGGTGCTTTAACTAAACGTGGTAGTGCACGTTGATGACCATCTGCAAATTTAAGAGAAAAACAATCAGTTGAAAATGAGTATGATTCATCAACTAAGTCAAAAATTGGATAAATTAAAAATGATGGTTTGGTTTGTTCACCATCACTAATAACTTTCGATCCTGTTGCTTCAAGTTCTTCAATCGTTGTTTGGACAGCTCTAGTATAAAAATCATTTAAACGTTCACGACCCATTCGTCCATAACGATAACTACGCAAAGCTGCAATCAGTTCATCAGGTCGAGGCACTGAACCAATTAATTCACTTGGAATAATAATCTAATAGAAGTTAAATATAGGATTTAATATAAAAAAATATATAACATACTCTATCTGTATTTTCCATGTTATCGATAGAAAATGAATCTCAATACAAAAGTTCTCCATCTATTTATATATGAAATTTTAATTCAAATAAGTGATTCTATGTTAAATTAACAGAAGATAATATCATTAACTATGTAAAAAATAATCCAGATAGATTAAAGGAAAGTTAGAAATATAAACATGCTGATTATTAATATCAAAAGAAAAAAGAAGTTATTGATAATAAACAGTATCTAATTATTTTAAAAGGAAAAATAATATCTTCAAAACATGATTTTGTCTATTTTTTGAATAAAAGATTGATACAGACATGTTTTCCCATCGTAATTAATATACTTGAGTAAATTGAAGTAAAATCCTAAAAAGATTTTTACATCTAACTAAGATTCAACATAGAATAGTTTATATTCTTTGAGTATAATATCAATCATATTAGACTGAAAACGCAATAGATTATTATCAATTTATTGAAATAGCTGAACTGTAAACTTTATATCACATCGTCAATTGTTTTGTATTTATAATCAGTGATGACTATTTTGATATGCTGTATTAAAATGCATATTATGATCGATTTTTTTTAAATTATTTCAAATACACCAGTTTTTTTAGACTATTAATGTTCACATAGAATAATCAATGGAATCATTTATTTGTAGATTTTAATGATATTTCTATTTCATTTATTTATATATTGTACAATGATTGAATGACATGTGACTTGATCATTAATATATCACATGTAGATTTTCAAAACAAATTGCGACTGATAATTTACACTATCCAATGAAATATTTTTACTCCGGGAGAAAATAGATGATTGGAAATACGTTAGAAAAACTCAGTTTTATATAAGTATCTGTTGACATCTAGGAAAAAATACTATTCGATTATATTTCACTCTCACATGAAGAAGAAATTAATTATTTATTAATATTCAAATTATTATCTTTTTTAAAGGAAAACAAAAAAATTAATAAATATTATATATATAGTTTATCCAATAATTTTTAGTAATAAATTGCTAAAAGATAATATGAATGATTTTCGTGTCTTATTTCCAATATTGTCGAAGAAGAAGAAAGAGAAAAATATTTCATGTCTGACTATAGATAAAATTCCTTTTGAATAATAGAACAATTGTTCGATCGTTCTAGACGCTTTCTTTCTTTCTTATAGTGTAAACAGTTTATTTTCTATGTGAAATGTTATGATTACACTAGTAAAGTATACTATTATTTGATCTCAGTGACTGACGATCATTTCTAGTCATATATGTAAATGAAACTATACTTTATTTATACAATGAACTATCTTTTGTTTACTTATATTTGTAGATCTTATAAGCATCTATATATATATATATAGATAGATAATCATTTATTTAATCTTTTATTCTTCGAATTTGTACGTGTCTTAACCATGTCGGGTTCGGATACTGATTATCTTATTCGAGATAATGCTACGGGAGCTACACCAAAATCAAAATTCAGAAAGGTTTCTATTTTAAGTTCTTTTAATATAATGTTTCTTAATTTTTTTTTGTTCAGTTCATCTGGTTAACTATAGTCTTTTTATTGGGTATTGCTATTGGTAGTATACCATCAATCGTTCTATATATTCGTTCATCACATTCTGGATCTAATCCATCGATACCTTCCGGATGGAATATTGATGATTATCAATCAAATAGTGATTATTATAATGAATTAACAGCAATCCATGATTTTAATCAAACACATAATCTTCGTTTGGATCGTCTTTCTTCACCACAATTTCATCCACAACATGGAAAAAGTGTTATCTATTTACGAAAACAATTTCATATGCCTGATTTAAATGGATCAACAACAACATTACATTGGACATGTTTACAAACAAATCAAACTAAACAATTAACTCAACCTATCTGGGGAGTACATGATCAACAAGTACATTTTCTATTTATTTATTTATTTTAATTTTTTAATATATTTCTTTGTTTTTTTTTCTAGTTCTATTGGGTTGATGATACAACAGTTCTTTTTCTTTCTAATCGAACATCAGATCTTAT